GGCATGTGTGTGTGTACCAGGGGCGTGCATGTGTGTACCAGGGGAATGCATGTGTGTACCAGGGCCGTGCACGTGAGCGTCAGGGGCATATGTGTATGTGCACCAGGGGTGTGCACATGAACGTCAGGGGCATGCACGTGTGTACCAGGGCGTGCACGTGAGCGTAAGGGGCATGTGTGCGTTACCAGGGGTGTGCACATGTGTACCAGGGGAATGCATGTGTGTACCAGGGCCGTGCACGTGAGCGTCAGGGGCATATGTGTATGTGTGTATCAGGGGAATGCACGTGAGTGTCAGGGGCATGCGTGTGTGTACCAGGGCCGTGCACGTGAGCGTCAGGGGTGTGCATGTGTGTATCAGGGGAATGCACGTGAGTGTCAGGGGCATGTGTGTGTGTACCAGGGCCGTGCACGTGAGCGTCAGGGGCATATGTGTATGTGTACCAGGGGCGTGCATGTGTGCACCAGGGGTGTGCACATGAACGTCAGGGGCATGCACGTGTGTACCAGGGCGTGCACGTGAGCGTAAGGGGCATGTGTGCGTACCAGGGGTGTGCACAGGTGTACCAGGGGAATGCATGTGTGTACCAGGGGTGTGCACGTGAGCGTCAGGGGCATGCATGTGTGTACCAGGGGCGTGCATGTGATCATCAGAGGCGGGCACGTGAGCATCAGGGGCATGCATGTGTGTACCAGGGGCGGGCACGTGAGCGTCAGAGGCGTGCATGTGAGTGTTAGGGGAGTGCATGTGTGAACCAGGGGTGTGCACGTGTGTGTCATTTCATTATTTTCCTGCAAAGCACCATGAAGTTGGGTCATTGCTGCCCATTCACCCAAGGATGAAACATGACATTCCAACAACTCTTTTCAGATTAAAATGATAATTCCCCCACCCTTCAACCCATCAATTTTATGGTTTTGTTTGTTTGTTTGTTTGAGACAGAGTTTTACTATGTTGCCCTTGGTAGAGTGCTGTGGCGTCACAGCTCACAGCAACAGGATCAAATGAGGGGTTCACTGGTGGGTCAAGCTACATTGGGCTCAAGCAATTCTCTTGCCTCAGGCTCCCTAGTAGCTGGGACTATAGGGACCCACCACAGCGCCCAGCTACTTTTCTTTTTTGTTTGTTTTGTTTAGCAGGACCGGTCTGGTCTCAAACTCCTGGCCTCAAACAATCCCCCTGCCTTGGCCTCCCAACATGCTGGGATTAGAGGCATGAGTCACCATGCCTAGCTAGAAAAAAATATTTACAGGCTAAGAAAAGACATTTAGTAATACCTGTTTATCAGCACAAATTCTACATATGTGTATTTTCTAGATAACGGAACCTAAACCTTTAAAAGAAAATCAAACATTCAAAATGTTTAACATTCAAAATGTTAAATAATTTCAAAATACTCTCACACAAATCATATCCTCCAGGGAATGTTCTGATGACTAGGTTTGATCACTAGGAGTATTGAGTCTCATTTAGGAAAGGGCTGATGATTAAGAGCCCCACCTGCTGGTCAACTGCAAAATAAAACCCACATGTTCACTGACCCTACGCCAGGGCAGGGATCCGGGCCACGAATGATTTATACATTTTTTTTTGGCCAGGGCTGGGTTTGAACCCGCCACCTCTGGCATATGGGGCCGGCGCCCTACTCCTTTGAGCCACAGGCACTGCTCAATTTATACATTTTTAAAAGGTTGAAAACAAAAAAGCAAAATAATATTTCAAAACATGAAATTATATAAAACACAAATTTCAGTGTCTGCAAATAAAGCTATATAGGAACAAGCCCCACTGATTGACCTACATGCACCTGGTGTACGGTGCAAAGGCTGCCTGCTCACTGCAGCGGCAGAGCTGAGTAACTGTGGCCGACACAGAGTGGCTCCTGAGACTGGAATATTTACTGTCTTGTCCTTTAGGGAAAGGTCTGGGAGGGGTAAATTCATATGCATTGGGTATAGTGCACATTATATGGGTGGAGGGCACACTTACAACTTTGACTAAACTGCACAAAACCAAAGTATTTAAACAAAACATGTGTACCCCCTAATATTTCGAAACAAAAATAATACTACATTACTCTGTGCAAGCCTAATAAGAAAAAAAAAAACTTTTCCAATCTTTAGAATGAAATGAAAAGATTCATAGGTAAGCATGTGTGGGGTTTTGTTCTAAGCAATAATCATGGTCTTTGGGACAAGAGGGTCCAGATTTTGGAGTGGCACAAAGGCAGATTTGAGTTCCTAGGCAAGAAATTAATAGGTGAAACTGAGGCTCACTTGCTTTTTTATTTTAATTTTGGTTTTTAAAAATTTTTCTTAGGTCTTTCGGTGGCTACTGGAAAACCTGCTAGACAAATTCTAAAAGAGCTGTGATACTGGAACTCACTTCCCACCAGAAGAATCCCTGTAACTAGGAGGCTGCTGGAATCATGACCTGAACAGTGCCTGTGAGCTGCCCAGCCAGGGTGTGGCGTCCCAGCTGTGTATTTGCTGTTCCTGTCCACAGGCAGTTTATTAATCTACGGTGTCCTGGTTAAGAGCAAGAAATTTATTGATCTGACCTCAGGAACAATCAAAATGTCATGTTAGAAGTAGCATATTAAACTGTAAACTTAATTGTCCCCAGATCTTTTTGCAGCATATGTATTTCATAGTATATTTCCTGTTAATTTACAATGAAAATGATCTACAACAGCGGCACAATTTCATTGATGCTTTTAAAAGTCAGGGAGCTGCAGACAGCATTTCTTTCTCTCCTCCACTTCTGCCTCATCCTGGCCAGCCCCAAGCTAGTCTTTGTATTTATTTCTCTCTAGCCCAAAGCCTGGCTTATTTGAATCTTACATAATTTTCTTTTTTCTTTTTTGCAGTTTTTGGCCGAGGCTGGGTTTGAACCTACCACCTATAGTACATGGAGCCAGCTCCCTACTCCTTTGAGCCACAAGCGCCACCAAAAATCTCATATAATTTTCATGAAATATTCTTTTGATTTTTTTTCAACCTTTTAAAATGGAAAAATATTTTTAGCTCATAAATTATGCAAAACAGCTGGTGGACCAGAATTGACCATACTGTTCAATAGGCTGCCTACCACATTCATCAAGTGTTTTTGTATAAATTCAGCCCTTTAAAAAATACCTGGGGGCAGCCCTGTGGCTCAGTGGGTAGGGTGCTGGCCCCATATAC